CGCAGCTTTGGAGGCTTTGCGTTTTGGAATTGTGGATTTGTGGTTTATGGCACGAGCTCGACTCAGTTGAGTTCAATTTCTGGAACGGGAAGTGTCGATCAGTCTCGCGAACGGGGAATACAATAAGATATACAGATATATCTCTGTGTCTATATAGGCAGATACATATATATATATATATATCTCGCCAGCATTGAGGATATTCCGTTGTTGCGCTGAAGAAGCAGCATCGAAAAGTGCCCAAAATAATGCCGACCATCACCGAGGATTGCATCGATGGATTTCAACAGTATTATGCACGTCCGCCCGAGCGTCCCAAAAAGAAGTCCATCAAGCAGATGATCTACGATGAGGATGAAAATTCATATTTTGGCAGGACGATCGAAAGCTGGGGTAAGTTGCAACTGCACAGGACCAAAATCGATTGCATTTTGTACTCGTTTTTTGTTGTATTTTTTCTTCGTTTTCTGGGATTTTTTGTCTGCTTTGCAGTTACGTAAAAAGCGCACGGCGTAAATCTTTAGCAATTTCAAGCTGTGCCAGTTTGGATTTAATCAAAATCTTTTGTCGTCGCATTAGTGTGATACAAAAAAAAATATGAAAAAAAATTAAATTTTATATACATTTGTGTTTGGAAGTCCACCCAAAGTAGGCGGCACGTTTTTATTGCCTGCCTCTGACCCCCCGCTGCCTTCGCTCCCCCTTCGCATACTTCGCGCCTGTCGCCTCTTCAGCGGCCGCTTTCAGCTGTGCTCTGTTTGCTCTGTTCTCTTTGACCTTTGGCGGGCACACACACACACACATACACACCAGCACAGTTATGTGTGTGTGTTTGTGTGTGTAAGTGCCTCAGGGTACTCGACCAATATGCCGGTCAATTATGTCATTATGCAATCAAAGCATGCATCTATGGAATCGCAACAGCAACAGCAACATCAGCAACAACAAAAACAACAAAAACAACAGAGACACTCATAAATGAGCATATTAAAATGCTGACATTGACTAATAGGCAATTTCTTTTCTCATTTTATTTTTGCATCTCGCATTTTGTGCTTTAATCCGATTGCAGTTTGATTGCATACATTTGTTGGCATAAATCTAACAAATTTATTTATTTAGTTATGCTTTTAATTCAGTAGAATTCCGTATAAATTCAAACAGACAACTCAGCCATAAATTTAAATGAGTATATAAATGTGGGATCAGAGTAAACATAGACAATCGAGTCACTCTTTTCAACACGTAAAGATTATATTTTAACAAGTTGAAGATTTTTCATAACTAATTAGAAATAATATGCCTGTTTTGCTTTGACATAGGTCTCTTTAATCTAAATCAATGCGACCACAAAAATACTGATTACATTTTGATTTATTTGCTTTTATATTTATAAAAGAGATGAAAGTTCTCTAATACAAAAATATCTGGGGTATAGAAACATTGCCACAAAAAGTATTAATTACAATTTAAATATTTAAAAATATGTCATTAAATTTGACCAAATCCAAAAGAATAATTTGTAAACAGTTTGCCTATTGAAAAACAAGTAAGAGTAGCTATATTATTACAAAGCTTAGTTTCTTTATATTATTTATATAAATATTAAGTTTGTTAGTTTATACATAATCTCTGATTGATGTGGTCAAGTATATATGTATCTCAAAAGACTGTAAATGTTAAGTATTGCAGTTTAGACAGGCAATCCAATTGTTTACATCTCAAAGTGCTGATGGACGACGCATCCTTGTTTAGCTGGTTGCAGTAACGGAAAACGTCAGTTGCGACACAATGCTGTTATTGTTGGCCATTGGAGAACAGGAGTCTAAGCCAGAGGGCACTTCCATGTCACTCACTGAATCGCAATCCATTGTTGCAAATGCGTTGCTGTCAGTCACAGCAAACAGCGAATAGATATTAGATACAGGATACAGTGGTTCCACACAGCAGTTTTAAGTCCTTTATTCTACATTTGATTTCTAGACTACACTAAATAAATTAAATAATTGTTTATCATTCATTTATAAACAAATATAGATACTCATTATTCATCTAATAAAAAAGAAATGTTTAAACTTGTTGTGTAGATTAATTGATATATTTGAAGTGCCTACTATTTCTAATATTCTTAAGTCGTACTCCTCATAACTGTTCAAGCTATCGGTAATCGATTTTCGTAATCGTTTCGATAATCCTGTTCATGTCATCTGTGAATCTTACAATGCCGTATTTTACAGTTTTACAGCGAAACTCTCTCTTTCTTTAATCAAATCTTTAATGCTACAATATCTCCGGGAAATCTCTGAGCCTAGTTAACTGTGATAAACCTATGTTACTCCTCAGGTTGAAAGATTTGCCTATCTACATCTATATTTTGTCTCTCACATATTATCCCACTTCCCATTTCTGTCTCTTTCTCTCCCTTTTCTTGCGATTTACTTTATTACTAACATTTAATCATATTTGGTATAAGTTTTTCTGGGTTTCCCCAATCCTTGCAATAAATCTGTACAATGGGAATTATCATATCAATTATTTCATTTCTTTAACATTAAATTAAAATTTAATTATTTAAGATAAATTTTTTTTATATACTTTCTTATATACATATGCTTAGTTTTGCCTGTTATTTATTTTGGCACAACTTCACTCATTCCACAGCTTATTCATATTCTCTAATAAAATTTTCTTGAAAAAAATGTTAAGCAAAAAATATTTTCTCTATAAGGTTTTCCCAAAAAGATTTAAAGCAGAATATGGCAGAATATATATACAATATTTTTTCTTCAGAAAATGATTTTTTTTTATATCTGGTTGACCACGGTAATAATGCCCTGAGTCCAACTAGCAGCCCATTGACAGCGACAACACTCAATGGCGAAAACTAACTGGAGCTGAGTTGAGTCGGGGCTCGATTTACAGCTGGACGATTTGCTAATTGGAACGTGCCAGTTGGAATAGTCACAGCAGGACACATTTACACACACACACACACACATGAAAATTGTAGACACCAGCTCAGGTTACCGTTACCTGTTAGTTGGACTTTATGTGGGTCCTCCTCATTTCAAATGAATCATTTCAAAAGAGTCTGGAGTCAGTCGTAGACACACACACACACATACACACACACACACATATACACACACACACACACATACACACACACACACACATACACATATGCGTTTTGAGCCCAAACTCCCAGAAACCGCATCGACCTAAAAAACCGGTAACCTCATTTGAAGTTCTCAGCTCGCAGACTCCATGCAAAAAAAAAATAAATAAAGAAAAGAAAAAAACGGAGTATCTGCGTAGTAAATGTGGCGTAAAGACCAGACCAGGCCAAAACGCATACAGCATGAAATTCCACCCTTAACTGTGGAAGCGTATCGAGAGCAACCCTCGAGCGGCAAGCGGTAAACTGGAAAACGAACGGAGTTGAATGGAGTTGCCAAAGACAAACAAAACAAAACAACAACAACAACAGCAACAACAAAACTGGTTATTGCGGCCACGCGGCCAAATGCTTTCTCTCTCTCTCGCTCTCTCTCTCTCTCTTTCTCTCTATGTATTTGTCGCAGTCTCTCTTTGGCTCTCTGTTTATGCTTGAGCTACTATGAAAATGGCTCAAAAGAAAGAGAAAACATTCGTTACTATTTGTTATGGCCATTACCCTTCCAGCGATCCAATCGATCTTGCCTTGTTTCCACAACAACAACAAGAACAACAACAACAGAGCAAGCAGAAGAGAGCGAGAGAGTGGAGAGAGCGCAAAAAGTCACTCAATCGATTCGAGTGACTGAATCAGCAACAACAACAACGGCTACAACAACAACAATTATAAACAATGCGATTTCATGCTGCAGTTAACGGTACATTCGTATTTGACAAATGCATTTGGTGCTTGTCATTCGAATCTAGCAAGAAACGGCAGCCTGCGAGTGCTTAATATGTTATGCACTGCAAGAAATTGTAACTGACACGGAAAACACAAAAACTTAACTTAAAATAGATATATTAATAATAAATAAAATCATATATCAATACAATACATTAATTATTTAATTATGGATTTGAAATCATTGTATTGATAGGTGTCAATAATAATACATATTTGATATTTTGATTTGATTATTTTACATTCTGATTATTTATTCGCACGTATTCCTTAAAAAGAATTGCTAAATTTGAGTATCAACAATAAAACATGTTTGATTTTTTCATTTGTATATTTTTTATTTAATATACAAACAAATATTTAATAAAATTACATTGGTTCGAAGAAGAACTACCATGGAACTCAAAATAAAACGAGTTTACCGGGTTTCAAATCGCTCAACTGAAACTCAACACACAAATTAATTGGTTATGGAAATTTTTTTCGAAGCGAATATTGTCCCAAAATATCAACTAGCTCTAATTGGATACTGATTACATTAACACAGCTGTTTGAATTTTCTTCCCCTCTCTCTTTCTCTTTCTCTTCCCAACACTCATGATTCATTTGTGAATTTAACTGGTGTATTTGTTTTGAGTCAAGGTTTAAGAATCTTAGCTCAACCAATAAGTTAATTTTGACCAGTGTAGTCACACAATTCGCACTAAGTGCAGTAGCAATCATAATTTATGTTGCATGCGACTAATTAAAACAAGTGCAACAACAGCAGCAACAACAACAACAACAATTACGAACCGCAACTCAGAACCCCAATCCAAACCCAAGCCCGAAAATGCACTCCAAATGAAAACAAACCCAGTTTTGCACTCACTCACAAAATGCAAATGCCGCCAAAAGTGTATTTTTTGCACTCAAAACAAACTCAACGAAGCCACAACACACTGAGTGCGAGAGAGAGCGAGAGAGAGCGAGAGAGAGAGAGAGAGGGGCGCTCAAACTCGCGCGCTCGAGAGAGAGAAAGGTGGCTGTACGAGCTGAACTGAACTGAACTGAACACAAAACTGAGGCCAAGCCAAGTTCTGTGTTTTGTTGGCGGTCCAGTCTTCGATTCAGTTTACGGTTTCTCAGTCTGACATTTGTTTTGAGCGCGTGCGAAAGCGGGCAGCGGTTAAACGCCAACTGAAGCGGGCCATTTCCAACACACAATTCTACAAAAAAAAAATAAAATAATAATAATCAAACTAAATTAAGAAGAGGAAAAGCAAGAAGAAGAAGCATAACTCCTTTAAGCCAACTATTTTGCACTCTTCCGCTTATTCTTCTTTGTTGTGTTTCTTTTGTGTTGTTCGCCAAGTGCCTGAAACAAATCACTCGAATAAAGTGAAGTGTGTTTTGTTTTCCAAATCAAAGAAGAGAAACAATTCGATAATTAATTTTAATATTTAAATATTACAAATATCAGACCTAGGCTCAAGATATTTCCATTGTCACACCCGAAATACACACACACACACACGTGCATACAGTGAGCCCTAGCTGTAGCAAAAAGGTGTGGTTGTTTGTATGTTTGACGGCGGCTTTAAGAGCGGAGCTACTCAAAACCCAAAGAGAAAAAAAATAAAAAAAAAAACCCAGATACTTTATATAGCAATACATATGCATAAGTGTGTATCTGTGTGTGTGTGTGTGTCTTAAAAGAGCGTTATCGCCTAAGAAAAAATAGAAAGACTTAAAAACAAAATAAAAGATATGCAAAAATATAAATAATTAATAAAACAAAAGTTGTCGGGTAAAAGATACAAATGTATCTGGCGGTCAAAGTCAAAGCGGCATTTCATAAAGTAGAACAATACGGAAATATTTATGTGCAGCTAGCCAGACGGAGAGGAGTTGTAGCAGACGAAGAGGTGGCACTTTGGCCCAGTTCTTTGTTATCTGTTGCACTCCATGTGGCATCCAACAGTTGCCAACAGTTGCTGCCACATGCAGCTAGCAGGGTGCTCAAAAAATCTCGTTGGCTTCACAGCCCATTGGGAAACTGTGACACGTATATTGTTTTTTTTTTTTGTTTTTTTTTGGGGGGGTTTATTTTGCAGGACAAAAAGGCGCCAAAGTTGTGGTTGCTGCTGCTGCTGCTGTTGTTGCTCGAAAATTTCACAGCGAGCCGGGAACGAGTGTACAGAAATTTGTGGCAAGCAAATCAAAACAGAGAGCAACCAGTCAGAGAGAGTCTGTGTGTGTGTGTTAGAGGGAGAGAGGGAGAGCGGGAGAGCGGGAGAGGGAGATGGAAAGAGCAAGCGAAGCAAATGCGAATTAGTGACGAAAAATAAAGAAATATCTTTAAAATGAAGTGGGATTTTACGAATAACAAAAGCATAATGAAAATTTAGTGGGAAAATGTGAAAAATTAATGCAAATTGCAAAAAAATAATATATGCAGAAAGTTTTAACTTAGCGAAAAAGTTATGATTAGTGGAAAATCAGAAAAATAAATGTGGAACGAAATACTAAGAATTTTTAATTAACGAAAAGTTACAAGTATGAATAATTAATGGGGGATAATATGATTCGAATTTCAAGTTTAAAATATGATGATAAACTTAAAGCAAGCAACAAACTTGGCTACTTAAAGCATTAATCATTATTAAACAAATTAACAAAATAAGAAACATTTAAACCAGCAAAAAAATGATTACAAATTTGCATAACTCAATACAAAACAGTCAAAATGAAATGTGTTTTTTAAGGAATGGTTAATAATTTTATGGAATAATTGAATTAATTTATAGAATATAAACTAAACTTGCATAATATATCCAGGTTGAACAAACTACGTAGTCCTATTATCGAAACAAGTAGCAAACGAGTGAATTAATTATTTATTGCCAATTTCCGTCACAAAATTGCGCTGCGTTTGTGAAGAACGTACAAATTTAAATAAATAGACAACAACAATCGACCAAAATACGAAATACAACCCACCAAAATGTCGAAACCCGTTCCAATGCCGCATTCCAATACGAATGAGGATCTGCTGGCTCTTCGTAAACCCGAACCCTTTCGGCTCTCACAGTTCTTATACAATGCGGAAGAGGGCACAGTAATGGGACGAGATCGCACCTCATGGGGTAAGCTATGAAGACGGCGAATATAAGAGTGGATTGGAGTGTAATTGAGTTGAGAAATAAATACACTGCTCGCCACTCGAAAAGGACATAATTTACTCTATATCTACTTATATATTCAGGAAACAAAATCGTATATTTTAATATATAGTTAATTAACTCTGAAAACTTTGTAAGATCGTTTGTATTGAATATATTAAATCATAAATAAATGAATTCGATCTTTTTTCTTATTAGTGAACGAAATTGAAATTGGAGTCAGAAATCCGAATATAATAAATTTGTATTCTTAGTGTTAAATATATTCAATTAAAATTAATTACATTTTTTTCTCTTAAAAGTAGTTAGTGGAGTTGAACATTTCACGCTCGATAATTGGATTTCTGAATATTGAAAAATCGTTGTTATTTAAAATACTATAAAATATTTAAAATTTATCGATAAATTATTTTTTTAGCCATTGCAGAGGGTATTATAATTTTGTCGTGAAGCTTGTAACGCATTGAAGGAAAAAACTATATATATTCTTGATCAACTGATTACTAGCCGAACCGATGGAGCCATAAAACCATAATTATATTTCGTACTCTCGACTAAAATTTAAATGTCGTCCAATTAATTTAAAACTAAAAGTGGACGTTAAACTATTTTAGGAGAATAGAACAAGTCTCTAGTCACATTCTTTTTTAGGGAACGTGACTCGCCGAGCTAGTAAATATTGTTTTGGGGTACTTAAAATAAACCAGTTCATTCCCAAATAAATCAACTAGTTAGTGTCAAATTTGTATTTTTCTATTTACTTTTTAGCCTTTTTTACGGTCGTGTCTCAAATGCAACACATTTGAATTATACACCTCAAATAGATACTCGTATTTGCCTGGGAATGTTGCCAACTGGAGCCAGTTGTTGTGTATTGGGTTGTCATAGTTTGAGCTAATTGTGCTAACAACACTTATTATATAGCTGCCAAAGTAACATGACGTTAATGCCTGACAGACAATTCCGGAAAAGAGAGCAAAAACTAAAATTATAAGGCGCTGGTAAAAATTAACGCCAGGGCTTCAAGATGAGTGTAGTTTTGTGCAAAGGATGTTAAACAGGAAAAAGGATGAAAACAGGAAATTTAGAATTCATTACAAATAAATAGAATTTAATGAGCTTTTTAAAATATTTCAAAAAAATATATTTAGTATTTTTATTAATTATCTCAGTTTAGTAAACGGTGCTAAATAGATACATATGTACCAAATGTGGACTACTTTAAATAAAATAATTAAATAATTAATACTTTGACTTGAATAAATTATTTTCATCTATACATACTTAAAACGTAGATATTTTCAAAACTTTCTTTAATCGTTTTTAAACAGTATTTTACTTAATGCGTGTAATAAATCAAATAATAATTTTCTTATATACATATTTCAATTATATTTAAAAAACCCTTTGCCTAACAGTAATTTTTTTAAAGCATTATTTTTTAATTCATTTTTTTTTACACATATATCATATATATGAATAATGAATATCATATCACAGATATTTTTTAAGACTTTTCAAATTTGAAAGTGCACAAAATAAATGTACTTAATTCAAAAACTGAACTGATTTGCAAAATTATGTAGATTTATTGTAAGCACTTTAAGTGACTTCTGCTGAACTTTTTGTGCCTGATAACTGGGTATTTTTATCGCCGTTTTCTCAAAACAAGCTTAATACTTATTCGAATATGTGTAACTGCTCAGACAAACATTATGATTTTAAGCACGTTCACAGTGCTTTGTATTTTTTTGTGTACTCAACAAAATGACAAACTCATCTCTCATTTACTCTTCCAATCGCAACTCTCTCTCTCTCTCTCTCGATATATCTCTCACTATCGCTCTTTTTACAAATCGAAAAAGTTGTAGTCACTTGTCAAAGATGTTGGCCAAGTTGAGGTTATGTGCACACTCAGTGTGTGCAAATGTGTGCGTGAGCAGAAGAGCGATCAGACTCCAAGACAGCTTGCTTCCGTTGAGCGTCGCTTACGTGTCTAAGAGCAAAACGTTCAAGTCTTATACACTGATATGATTCAAGTCTTATACGCGTATGATTCACCGATGATCAATGTCATGCAACTTTGTGATGTATAAGAGTAGCAACTTGTTCTTATACTTAAAGTTTGTTTACGATTCTAATGAGATAAAGAACCGGCGCTGGGTGCTCAGCGCTCAGCACTCAACGCTCAGCACTCAACGCTCGCTTCGTCAATTAAAAGTTTAACCCATTTGTGACTTTTGGTCCGTTGTTGCTTCAAGTGCTTAATTTAATCAGCTCAATTGAAGGGGCAATATTTCTTGTTCACGATTCTTTAATAATTCTCATTCGATTTGAGCTCTCTCTAATGCGTTTAGCGTTAATGGTAATCTAATTAATTTCCCATTCGTTCTCTTCGTTTCATTTAGCTAAGATCGGCATCTTCTACATTGTGTTCTATGTCGTTCTCGCTGCCCTTGTCGCCATTTGCATGTGGGCCTTCTTCCAAACTTTGGATCCACGCATACCCAAATGGACATTGGATCGCTCGATCATTGGCACAAATCCAGGTGGGAAATATATACATTAAAAAATATTACTCTTTTCATAAATAAATTAATAAAATATAAATAAAACTAAACAAAAAAATAATACAAAAAAATATATTTTTAAAATGAAATAAAATTTATCAATTAGAAATAAAAAAACACAAAAGTGAAAAACCAAATAAAATTAATTTAAAATAAAAATTTTAATTAAAAAAATATATATAATATTTGAAAAAAAAATTAAATAAATATATTCACTAGCCGTTGCGTTCCCCAAGTTTTTCTAAGATGATTTTCTAATAACTTTCCCCTTCCCCCGCATAATCAGGTCTCGGATTCCGCCCCCTGCCGCCCGTTGAAATGGTGGAGAGCACATTGATCTGGTACAAGGGCACTCAGCACGAGAACTATAAGCATTGGACGGATTCACTGGATGACTTCCTGGCCGGTAAGTCGAGGGATACATTCAGCAGGTCTTTTGGCCAACTGTTTGCTTTGGCTTACACATGTTATGTTAAGTCGGACCGGCAGTTAGCCAATGTGCAAAGGCTGTTCAAATAGGCTTTGCATGTTTATTGTTTTTTATGCTACACATGCACGGATATGTCCATTAACTATTTTTATTTTTATTTCTTATTACGGATGTTGTGGTTGTTGTTGTTGTTGTTGCTAGGTAGTGGCAAATGGGTCGGTTGACAACACGCAACACGCTGTTCAGCATTTATTTTCATTAAAATATAATACTATTGATTTTAGTTGACATATGTTCACATATTGAAAACATTGCTAAGCTATGCTCAGATTTATGTCAAATATATTCGGCTATCGAATTAATTTATAGATAGTGGAACCAACAAGGTCGCGAATCGTAGGTCAGTTAATAATGTATCTGTAAGAACTTGTCTAAGATCGAGTTCAGTTTGGGGTGATTGAGTTTTTTCTACGCTAAATTAAATAAATAAAAACAAAACAATAAGGTTGAACAATTGAAGAGTTTTGCATGATTGGTAACAATATATGAACATCATAATATTTAATTTCGCAAGTAGCAAATTTTAAACATATCCCCCACCTCTCTTTGAACAGTTTACAAAGTGCCCGGCTTAACACCCGGACGTGGTCAGAACATCTACAACTGTGACTACAACCAGCCACCACCGAGGGGTCAGGTGTGCGATGTGGACATCAAGACGTGGGCACCCTGCACCAAGGAGAACAACTACAGCTACCACAAGAGCTCACCTTGCATTTTTCTCAAGCTGAACAAGATCTACGACTGGATGCCAGAGTTCTACAACACATCCACGGATCTGCCCCACAATATGCCCGAGAATCTCAAAACCTACATTGCCGAAATTGAAAAGACGGAGCCACACAAGGTAAGTTTGAGATTAACTTGGAAATATAACAATGCACTTAAAGTATATTAATAATAAAAAAAGGAATATGTAAAGAATTCAATTCGAAAAAAATACCTGTTGATAAAGTATATACAGACATAAGTATAGTCATCCCTTAGATGTAAATAAATGATTTAGAAAATGTCATGTTCGAAATAATTGTTAGTTGGTTTGTAATCTTTTTATATATTTTTATGTCAAAAGGATGGCAGCCCAAAGCGGGAGTTTATAGCAGGCAGCTAGCGAGCGTTAGCAGCGATCGCTTATAGTTGCCAGACTGTTGAGGCAGTCGCAGACATTTTTAACAACCAATCGCTGTGAAAATATATATTATGCAGACAATTGGAATACTTTAATAGACCGAGATAATAATCACAATATTATAAAGTAAACAAACACAATAATAAATTAATAAGCAGCATCAGCATGCTGAAACTTGAATTAATTAGTCTACAGTGATCTTCAAATATATAAAATATAATTATAAGAGTAATAATAAATTTAATTAAAATGATTTTAATAATAATATCAATTATTTACCATGCAGCTGAACACCATTTGGGTCTCCTGCGAGGGCGAAAATCCAGCCGATCAGGAGAATGTTGGGTCGGTCAACTATTTGCCCGTTCGCGGATTCCCGGGCTATTTCTATCCCTACCAAAACTCCGAGGGTTATTTGAGTCCACTTGTCGCAGTGCACTTTCAGCGCCCCAAGCGTGAGTAGAAAATCATCTGTTTCCATATCTATTTAATTAACAGAGCGCATATTTGCATATTGAGACTTATTTATTCATTCCTTTCGAACATTAAAAAAAAGAACTTCCAATTATCGTTCGCAGTTAAAATTTAAAATTTAGTTTCGTTACTTCTGGCAACGTTGTCAGACTCCTATGGTTTATGTTTCTTGCAAGCATGTGGCAACGCTGAGCAAGAACGCGTAACGGTTGCTTTTTGAATAAAAAAGTTCAGTTTGCTGTTTGCGTTTGTGCTTTATGCATTAAAATACACGCTCTGATAGTTGAATATATATATAATAAACACATAACTAATTCTTGATTCTTATCAGGTGGCATTATCATCAATGTGGAGTGCAAAGCCTGGGCACGCAATATCAAACACGATCGCAAGGACAGACTCGGCTCGGTGCATTATGAGCTGTTGATTGATTAATGTTAAGGTCGTTGTGAGAGGGCTTTAAATCAGCAAAATACAAATACAATTTAATGAAAAGCTAAAGTTAAAGAAAGTGAAAGCATAGCGAGTAAAAGATATGCGTTTGTTTAATGTAAGCAAGAACAACAACACCAAAAGAAAAACAAAATCTAAAAAAATAATTAAAAAGAAAAACAAATCATACATTATACATAAAAATAAAAAACAAAACTTGATAAGAAAAACCCACGAAACAAATATTAACAACAAACATTTTTGGATACAACTCAATTTTTGAATGTAGCTTCTTCTTATACAAATTATGATAATACAAAAAATAAAAAAGAAAACAAAAAAATAAATAGCAACAACATATAGTTACAATTTAGTCTACCACCTAAGAAGATTTCTATATGAATTGTGAGCGATTTTTGCATTATAACACTATTTAATACATTTTTATAATAATTATTAACTAATATTAATAATAATGCTGAATTCGATTGCTAAATGCCGTTTTGTGAAATGAATGAAATCTCGAATAAAATACCAGATGTAAAAACCTAATCTTTAAAGGCTAGCTAAGTACGAATCTCATTTAGTGCTGTTCAAAAACTACGAGACAAATTTACATGTTATTATTGCTTATTTAAAATTAATCATTAAACTGCCATTTAAATGCAAAACATAAATCTAAAATGAAAAGCCAGCGAAATTTTTTAGTAGCCCCAATTAAAAAAAAAAAATAAATAAATAAACACATACAAATTAGTTAAATGTATGTATCTTTAACAACAACAATTTAAAGTTAACGATAACGACAAAACAAAATGAGATCCTTTTGACCAAATGTAACAAAAACCACTTTGTACTTTGAACTAAAACTGCAAACTGACCAATTTCGGAGCAACAAACAAACATTTTTCTATTACAATTTTCGCAACTAGTTTTTCAAATAAAACAAATGAAACAATCTTATATACAACAATCTTCTATATACACGGCATACTAAATAAAAGGTTTGCATATTTTTACACATATATGTATACCAATATACATATATATATAGTATATAGCTCTAGCCAGTCTAAATGAAATGTATAACAATCAATCAGCAACAACAAATTTGCAGCGTTTAGTTTTTAAGTTTATTTAAATGTTAACAAAAACAAAAAGAAAACGAACAAGCAACAAAATACAAACAACAAAAATACACAAACACTAGGAACAACAAAACTACATATTTGGCTAAATCTGAAACCATTTTCCAACTGTTCTCAATAAAAATGGGCGATACAAAATTAAAAACATTTTGTTGTAATTTTATTTATTGACCAAATTCAAATTTTACTGTATTTTATTGGGTTTGCCTATATTTACATGGCACGTTTTTGAAATTAGTGTGAATAATTATTATTGAATAATATAATTTCGATTAAACTTAAAAAAAACATCAGTATATATAAATATTCGTTTATTAAGAAATACATTTCTTAAATATGGATAAAAAGCTTTCCTAAGTTATAAAAATTTTTGTTCTTATATTTAAAAATTGCATCTATAGTTTTCAGGGCGAACTTCATTCGAAGGCAATTTTTACCATTTGTTTTGTAAAATCTTCTACTCCCCAGTTGATATCTCTTCTGAAAGCTAGATACGATGAGGAGGGGAAGTAGGTGGCCACTCATAATTTGTCATATGCCGTTATTTGGCTTATATAAAGTTAATTGCTGTCGCATTGTTGCGTGGCAACGACAAGGTGCTGATAAGATATGAAGGTGCGACAAAACTCGAGGCACTCGTAACCCAGATAATAATCACAAATCACAAATCTGAGAGACTTCTTTTGCTGTTGTGCTGTTGGTCAGCAGTGTGGACAATGCTCGATCGATATGAAATTGTATATATATACAGTTGCAAAAACATAATAGCACCAGCCTCACATGGAATATTTTCAAATGTATATTTTTTAAATTTGAAAGTTTAAGGAACTTATGAATACCTTCTTAAAACTGGAAGAAGACTATTAAAAAAAAATAAAAATCATCATAATTTTATTCACCGCTTTAAGCTTGTTTAAATTTAATTAAAACTAAAATTTAAAAATTAAATTTTATGAAAAGGGAAAGCATAGAACCAAGAATACTAGCACAATTTTTCAAATTTGCACTTATTATTATGAAAATTAGAAATAAATAAACTAAACGAATTCTATAAAGTACATAAGAAGTGATATTATTTGTTCGCCACTTCTTGACACATTTCCCTTAAAAAAATATATAAAAAAATTTAAAAAAATATTTGTATACATATTTAAAAAATAAATAACTTTACTTTATAGGGAGAATACTAAACAATATAAAAAATCAATATTTGAAAAATTTTGAAAAGTTATTGTATGTTTTTTCATTCGTAAAAAATTTGTCGTAGTGGTGATATTATTTTTTCGCAACTGTATACAATTATATATGTATGGACATATATATATTTACTTGTATGTGATAAGTTATCTGGGCAATTTTATCAATTGCGTCATTGCGGCTGATTAACAGTATGACCATGATATATGCTTCTGATTAAATTTTGAATGAATTGCACTGGTTTTTGAATGTCAGTTTGACGTGTCAGGCTTTTCTTGGTTTGAAGACTTTTCAAGGACATATATATATAATATAATATACGAAAAAATCAAAAACACCTGAAAATCATATTATAATATTGCTTAACAAATTCAATGTAACTCGAATTACAAATTGTGTCTACTGTTTAAATTCAGTAAAGCCTTCGACTCTTATGTATATTATTCATTTTGCCTTAAAGTTCAGTTCAAATACACTTTGAGAGATTTAACTCTGCTGCGATTCAAAGTCAATATTTGGGTGTTAAAATTTGAGTTGACGAGCCAAAACTTTTACTCAAAAAAAAAAAAAAACACTTTAAAAGATCCACTTATGTTAACGGGTTATTTCTGGAATCGAGGCAAATAAATTGATTTTTGATAATGGTGCTAATATAAGTATTAGATGAAATTAATATTTCTGCGATTAAAACTATCTTGAGTGTGTCGAATTGTGTCAGATAGTGAAATTTGTAGCATTGATATCTCAAAAAAAAAAAAAAATAAACCAATTTAAACGTCACATAATACGTAATTCCAGAATAAATATATACAAATTGAATATAGGAATATTAAAATTGTGCCAAAGTTACTATGACAACTTAAATTAATAAAAAATTGACAAATATTTTTCTTAATTACTGTTCTCTATAGAATTGTTTATGTATATATATTTACAAATTTGAATGATCATAAATATGTATATATATTCTTTTTCTTGCTTCAGCATTATTGCTTTTTATGATGACGTCAAGCGGGCAAAATGAATAATGTGAAATGAACAATAAAACCAGCAAAAGATAAAATTACAAAGTTAATTGGCAATCATATGGTCTATGTTAGGGTATACAATTGGGCATATCTGCTTTGTGAATTACTTTCTAAAGCATTATCATCAAATCTGTTGACTAATTGGCAGCTAATTAGCTAAAAGGCAACCGCCTCGACGACTGCAAATCAACAGAGTACACAACAGAGGAATGACAAAACAAAACAAAACAAAAAAAAAGAAGATGCAGTAATTTACATATATACATATTTATATACATATATACAATAAAAAAGAAATCTGCGCTAAGCAGGAAAAATCAAAAGTTTGCTCTAATGAGGAAGCTTCGCGCAAATTGACCCATCCATCCATCGATAAAACTGAGCACTTTGCTGGAAAAATCTTGTACAATTCAGTTTGAACGAGATAAACTGGTTTCGTAAGATTTAGCAAGCTCATGCAACGATATTCCCTTGCCCCTTGCCCCTATCCCGCGTACCCCTTCCCTCTGCCATACCTCATGCTCAACTCGCAGTTGAATTCAAGTTGAAGTTGAGCAACAAAAACACAACAAGATTATGATTTCGATCTGTGTAGGTAATCAGTTCGAGCCGATCCAAGCTAGCTTGTCTGGAAGGCCCTTTTCATGTCTGTTCACTTGAATAATTCCCATGTGTAGTTTTCAAAGCTTTTTAAATCTTGGCTTGTGAGCTGATTGACAGATTAAGACAAAAACGGATCGATTTCCAAGCGAACAACATTTATTTTATACATTTACTTTATCAGAAAGATGTAAAATCGTATTTAAAATTAAAGATTTTCAAATATACCGACACAATATATACACTTTTTAAATTTTTCCTATCTAAAAAACTTGCAGACATTGTTAAGCTTAATATTAACTAAGCAAAATAAAAAATGTTTATCTCGATGCTTTTCCAACGTTTACACTTAGCGCTCCCCATTGAAAAGATTCCGTAGCAGTTCCTTATCTAATCAAAACAGTTTAATAGAATGCCCCTTTAAATATCTCTCTATGTAAATATGCAAATTTAACTTGTAACAAGCAAAAATGCCTTTCACACATCACAGAGATGAATTTCTAAGCAACTAATGAGAGAGACCCAGCACCAGCCACTGAATAAAGGGGGGATAAAGCGTTGTCAAGTGTAATTTAATAAATTTATGATGTTTTCAACCATAAAGCGAAAAGATTGAAAGAATGCTGATTGAAAGACTGCAGACCCACAAGAGACACTCTATAAATATTGAGGGCTTGACAGATTGAGACTTGATAGGGCAGCAATCAAGGGAGGGGTTGGCCATACTCTCACTTACTTATTTGCAATGGCAACGCTTCAGCTCCAGCTTCAGCTTCAATCTCTATCGCCATCTCTCTTTCGTTTCGTTTCATTTAGTTGTCGTTGTCGTCTCGGCAATGGTCGCTAATGCGAATTAATAATTTAAAATTGCTGCGACACTTGACAACAGCTTTTCACATGACACGATGAGTAATGCAGAGCCCTTGACGGAAAACAAAAAACAAGGAAACAACATTATTATATTGGACACCCCCCCATAAAAAAAGTTATTTCAAATTCTTATTCTGCAGCAAACCGCAAAAAATTCAACTTATGTACGTATGTATGAATGTATATATGTGCGTATACAAAACAAGAAAGAACGGCACGCCGATGACTCCATACCTTTATCAAATGAAGTCGAAATAAATTTCACTGTAAAGATGGTACTTATATATTTAATATTATTTTACTATTAGTTAAGTTTGATTCATATATCAAAAATGTTCAAGGCCTTACAAGGTACGTGACAAAATTAAAATACCTTTGCCAAGGGTATAAGAATGTCCCCAAAAAACCGCGTGAGATGCACAAACATTAAAGCAAAACACAGAAAACATAATTCTGGGCGCTCCCAGAAAAAAGACAACAGCAACAAAATGGCACACAAAAACAAAGATAGGAATCAAAGTCAGCGAGAGTTGGAGCGGGAAACAACGAAATACAGCAAAAGGCAATGTACTCGTATCAGATCGCATCGCATGCCGTGTATTAGTAGTTAATATATTGGTATGCATTAAGAGAGGGAAGAGAAGAGAAGAATTGTAATGGGAGAGCACACATTGAGCTTGAGTTTGTGCTTATGTGTTTGTGTGTCTGTGTGTTTGCAATTTCTGCTTTGTGCTTTATTTTAATACACATTAATAAAGCAACAGTTTTGCATTACAAATATTATATGGGGCGTAGGCAATAAAGATGCTAGTGTGCATATAACTCAATAAAAGTACTTAGCATACGAAAAAAAAATATATATATATAAGGTTTGAATATTATATGCAATAATAAAAATAATAATAATAATAATAAATAAATTAACATTTTTATATTTTTATTCATTACATATTTTATATATTATAATATATATTACATAACTAACTTATAAATGAATGTATATAAAAAATTAAATTGAACGCCCTCCTGCCTTGATTTAACCCCCGTTGCGCACCTGTACTTCACTGTCTGGCCGATGTCTGCACTCAATCAGTCATTCTATTTGCGTAGCCACAAGGCTTGGGAGAGGCGCTAGCCTCTCCTACCTTGCAAACTGGCTGTCTACCAATACGGCAAGAACAACATCAACACCAACACCAACGAAAACAGATACAACGTCGGAGCACCCCAAGGAGCTTTTTTCATTGGCAATGTTGTTGTGTTTGTTGTGTCAAAAGCGTTCAACAGCTGTCTCGCATGCTTTAGCTTTGTAATACCCTGCACCCATTGCAAATGAAAATGTGTACTATGATTCGTTAAATAATATGCAACAGTTTGTTAGAGACAAGTTAAAGACAGACAAGCCTCTTGCGTTTAGCAAAAGGAAAAATAAAATAAATAAAATCTTATATTTCAGTTAATTTCACTTTTCCGCGAAAATTTGTTTACGTCTTACTTTGACAATAACTAAAGACGAATACGACTTTTGATGGGTATTTGTTAACCGATTCTTGTCTTGCTGTTTTTTTTTTTGCTTTTATGTGTGCGTGTTGGCTGAGAGGCAAAATGTTGGATGTGTGAGTGTTGAGCAGCGCAGTAACTGCAAAAGGCGACGTCGGCGTCGCGACACGAACGATGTCGATGTCGGTTTGGCCACCACATTTTGTGGTTCAGTTGGTGATCATAACTCGAGAGCGCAAAACACAACACGTACAGACCAACGAGATTTCGAGTTAGCTCTGCTTTTGCCTCTTTGTGTGTGCGTTGGTTACATACTTTTTTCGTGGCGGCAAATTTTTAGAACAGCAACGAAATTAACCTAAAATTATCAGCAAAATTAAATTACTAAAGCAACAATAAAATATATACACATAAATATACAAAAAATTAAGTGAAATAAATTTTTTAAAATAATTTTAAAAAAATTGTGTATTCAATAATTTTTAAATAATTTCCAAATCTATGTGAGCAACAAATACAAAACTCAACAAAAAAAATATTAAAAAAATACGTGCATAAGCGCAATTTTTTTACATAAAACATAACTATTGTTTGCATAAGTCGAATATCGAAAACAGAACGAAAAGAGCGGCAATATGTCGAAGAATAACGGAAATGCTGAAAAGTACGTGAGTGAATTTCCGCAACCGGCCAAAAAGAAAACTTTTTCGGAAATTCTCTACGATCCGAATGAAGGCACTTTCTTAGGTCGGACGCCAAAAAGTTGGGGTAAGTGCGACAAACCGAAAACATTTAATAATTCGTTTAAGAGAATACATAAGTGAAAAAGGACATTGAGTAACGCAAAAGCTGAGAGAGTTATTCGAAAAGCAATCTCTTAGTTCCTGACTAATGAACAGACAGCTATAAGCTGAGCTTTATTCCTCGCTTAGAATGCTCAAAAAAACGAAAAGCAGAGTCTCTTCTCTCGTTCGCTCTCTTTCCTTGTTGTACGTCAATTGGAAGGCTACTCGCATATGCAAAAATTGGCTGTACGTCAATCGAAAGCTGCTGAGTCGTCAGCGTCACAAGGAAAGCAAACGATCGAAATAAGTGAAATGTTTTTACACACAACAACAAGAACACACACATACATGATCATCGTGTGCGTGTGTATGAACATGTAATGCAAGTCGGTCAATCGGCAATGAGTGCGAGCAGAAGCAAATAAAAAGAGCTTATCAGCTACTTGGAGTGTACGCTCTGCATTTTTGAGTGAAATGACAAAAAAAAAAGAGCTTTAGGTGTCATTGCCATATGTGTCAGTCAGTAATAATAAACCTCGATAACGTGTAAAAACTGGATAAAATGATGTGTCTTACGGATGTCTAAAGCAGCCACATCTTATATATACTATGTACACCATCCAATTATACATTTTATTTTTAAATGCGATAATCTTTAAGTACATAAATTTTGCGGTTTTCTATGTGGAAGCTGTAGAACAGTTGCTAACAATGTAATTGGTGTGAAAGGAGAAGTTCTAATAAGAAAATTACACATCTGCTTACATATTATATAGAAGTACATATTTCATGTATTTACATTTGTGAAAACCAGTTTTTAAGTGTATTTCAATAGCACTTTAACAAAATGATAGCCTTAAGTTTAACTGACACGATGATATGATACATACACAAATATTCATTAAAATGTTACTCATTTAAATATAAAACTTGTGCATAGAGTATTTAGAAAATTATATTATACTCCGAGAATCTCACTCAGACATACCTATACTTATACATATATGCGAGAAATACTTTTTCTACAATTTTTTTTCTGTTGATTCATATGAATTTAATTAAATTTATTCTGTAATTAAAGATTTTAATAAAAGCTGATTTTTAAATTGTGTTCTATTAATCATTAAAATTATTGTTTAATGAGTATCAATGTTGTATATTTTTTTGCTAATATTTTGTTTTACTTGCCCTTCACTTGGAGCAAATCAAAAATAGAATTTCAACTTTTAAAGTTCAAATACTTTCAATTCCATTTAACATACAAGCTTTGAAGCTATTAACATGAGTAAGCAATTTTATATAGATCTATGTGTATGTATGTACGTCATATATGTACATACTGTATACAATATATGCAATATTGAAGCACATTCAAATTACGGTTTTGCTGTTCGCAGAAGCAAAACATATTTTTCTTTTATTTTTGTTTTTTTTTTTCGCCCCAAAAAGATAAAAATTCTATGCCAATAAACACGGACGCACGTTTCTATGTATAGCGAATGAGAGCCGATGAGCAAAGACAAAGAGAGAGAGAGAGAGTGCAGATGATATTGAGCGTGTGTGGGAGAGAGAGAGAGAGGGCTCATTAACGGTTAATGCTGTACTTGCACACTGCATCAAATTCATTCGTTTTGTAATAAGTTCTGTAAACAAATTCAAGGTTTCTCTTTGCGCTCTCAATATCACCGTCTCGCTCTCGTCCCTCTCTCTCTCTTCTCTTTCTCGATCATTTCACTCGTTTTTGAGTGTAGCAAAGATATTAAAAGTGTATAAGGAATATAATGAAATGTTGTATAAAGAAATATCTTATTATTAATTTTTTCCTGTCTTTATTTATTTGTTTATGAATGGCGTACGGTCAACAAATAGTTCTTAACTTAAACTTATTTGCATTAAATGGCATTTTAGCTAAAGTCATAATTAGTTGACTTAACTTTGCGCCCATAAGTTATCGATAAGCACAGAAAATGTAGTGCGAAGACCAACAGGGTTTTTATGTTGGTCTTTTTTTAACTTACGGCAAAGCTGTTAAGTTCCTCGGCATTATTATCTGGTAATTTTGTCATGCCAAACAATTCGACAGTTGACCCAGCCGTTGCTGACACACCTGTCAATGGCATTCTTAATGCACCCTAGTCGAAAATAAAAATACTTACTCACATATACAAATACATATTTATATATATATATGTATATTTAATTAATTTTTCAGCTGTTCTGGCCTTGTTCCAGCTAATGTCTGTTCCTATCATTAACTACATTTCACGGCTTCAATTATATTTCCTTTATTCGCTTGACACATTGTTGCTTATAATTATTGGCATGTGCACTCTACTAAAATAGTGATATATTTTTTTGGGGTTAGGTCGAAATAGGTACTTAAGTTTTCTAATGTAATTTTGCCTAAAACAGATAAAATTACTTGCTGTTTGTTAGCTAAGAGTAACATCTATTTCTAAATGTGATCATATCTAATCCAAATTTTCTTAAATAAACATTAGTAAAAATTCTTAAAAATAAAAATAAACAGCTTTCACGTTTGTCTGGCAATATAAATAATCATTCTTATCTGAAAAAATATGTATTCATATCAAATGTGATTACGTTGAAGCATTCTTAGTATGGTTTGAGTGTTTCTTATAGTACAAATAAATATATCATCTAGACAAAAATACTCATAACCAATATGTGTAATAAGTTAAATCAAATCTATAGAAAAGGTACTTTCAAACTGTTAACTTCACTATGAGGGTATAGAATTATATAAAAACAGCTTAACAAACTGTGAAAAAAGAATTTCAGTTTAATTTCTGTCAATGATGATCTGCTAAAATAGATATCATGTTGACGCAAGAGCAGCAACAGTAATTAATGCTACATCCTGTGCCCCAAATAAAATGGCACTCAATCAGAGCCAAAAGGCGTGCTTTAAGTGGGTCAACATATATAAATATATATGTAAATCTATTGGTGTGTGTTATTAATTCAACATTTAGTTGGGTAGGAGCATAGGGGGAAGGCAAAGTTGGTGATTGACCCTCTATGCCGAGTAATTATTAGAACAAACTGGTTTTAGTCAGAATTTGAATCCACAGATAGTTTTTTTTATTTATTTTGTTTTTACTTGTTTTGGGGTGCAACAAACTGAAAAAAAAATGAATTAAACGAATGTCGAGCTAAATAAAAAATGCTAGCCACTGAATTTGTAATGAAAGCATTTCCAAAGCACAAACTCACTCAGATTAAGGCCGCTGAACCGGTTTGATTCGATTTATCACAAGGTTTACGAAGCATAAATAAATAGATAAAATTGTAGCAAATTTGTTAATGTCTGTTTTTTTTTTACTGCTTTAAACATGACATTATTTCGATCGCTGATTTATATTACATTTTTATATTTCTTTTCGATTTCAGATTTTGTTGTTGTTTTTTTTTTGTATATATCCGCTGATATTGCCATGCTTCAAGCAATTTGTGCTGAAACAATGACTATTTTAATTAAGTCAATCTGAGAAAAAATATAGTGTGAAAAATATTTTCAATCGAAAATAGATATGTACTTTTGATGCAGAGATAATTCCATTATGCAAATAATTATAATTATTTTTTCTGTAACTTTAATTATATTTCTTTTTACTTTTGTTTTGCGAATAAATAATAAGTTGCGAATAATAATAAGCAAGGGAAAGAGTTATTTAAATGACATAAAATAAAAATTAATAATTCAATTAAAGTTTAAAATTAAAAAATAAAATAAACAAATCTGCTGATATTCAAATGTAAAATGATTGAACATTTATTAGGGAATACCAAGAAAAGCCAATCAAACCAAAAAAATTTTAAGTACAAAATTTATCATGAAACGTATTTAATTTGTGATCATAATTAACATGATTTATATATAAATATATCAATTAACAAATTTATTAAACATTATTATTATTTTATATTAAAACCTCAAAGTTATACAATACAAAGTGAATAAAGAAGTTATATTTAATTGGCGATATAAGCTAACATGATTTAAGCTTACATATATTATACAAAATTATGGATTATTCCTTAACGATGTTGTTGAACAAATGTATGATTAGAAACTCATTTAACCTACCTCAAAGAACACAGAATCCAGTTGGTAAACTTTTTAAGAAATCTGAACGTAAATAAAATAGAACTGCCAAACTTTTATCAAAGGAGAAACTTAATACAACTTTTGTGTATATTGTCATTGCCCAATTACCCAAGCCAGAAGCAAAGCAAAAAAAAAGTTGATCAATTTATATATGTATATACAAATACAAATATATACATATATATTACATATATGTCTATATATATAGATATATGTGCACGTTTGGGCAATCAAGTGGAAAGCCGCCCTCGAATTAATCAGCTAACTAAACGGGCCGTAATGTTCGCATTGAGAGGGTTAAGCGGGGGGAGTGTGTTTTTTTATATGTTGGTAATATGTGAAATTAATTCACTCAACATGCCGCAAAGTATGCTATATATACAGTATATACTACCTAGTTTGTACTGGAAACGATGACGCATTGGGCACAGGGTGTGTCGAACCTAGCCACACGAAGGATTTGGATTACCAGAGGGTGATGGTGGGTGGTTTACACACTTAACACAGTGGGTGTGGATACCATAAAAAAACGTAGCCTGAGGGTGGTTTCACCATTCACCCCCTACCCCCTTTTAAATGCGCATAAGTGATGGTCTTATCTTGGCCCTGGACGAGGGAGTGTGGCGGGGGTAATGAGTATAATGATGACATACACAAAGTTGTTGCTGTTCTTGTTGCTTGGCAATAATTGTTGCTTCCTAGAGACCTCTAAAAAGTCATCGTGTGTCTCCAGCACATAAAACAAGTCAGCTCAACTCAAGGGTTTGCAATAGCCTGTCAAAGGTTGATTTTAAACATGCATATTGAGGAAAGAACGTGAATGTGTACTAAATGAATCAAATCCTGTTTTA